ATACACTCTAGTCGACAACACGCTGACCTCAGCCCCTGTATCCACTACTGCTGTAACCTCCATACCTTGCACGCACAGGCCAACCATAAAACCTTTAGATCTGCATAACCGCTCAGTGGGTATAGAGGGCTCCTTCAATCCCACTGCCACGGGTGACCAGGGATCACCCATCCCTGCAGGTGACATCAGATCAACACCACATGGGTCCATCCTCCCCAGGTCTGGGGGTTCATCACCAACCATGGCTGGTCCAAACGGCTCCAGAGTGGAGTGGGGAGTCCCCACTTCCTCTTCCATGGTGACCACTTCCTCCTCAGCCAAGCAAAGCTCCGGTGATGGTGGCATCCCAAATTGATCTTTCAGCCTGCGGCGCTTGTGCCGGCGCCGCACACAGGAGCGGGGAACACAGATCCCCAACTCCTTGGAATCTGACCTAGGGAACGTCTCAACAGGGAGTCCTCCCATACTGGTCCTGCCCCTTTGCCCGTCAGTAGCCACCGTCTTCCCTGCAGCTCGGGTGGGGCAATCTCTACGGAAGTGCCCCACCTCTCCACACCTGAAACATACAGCAGGCTTCCGGTCCCGCTCCGTCCATCTGGGTGACAGGGTACCACTCCTCTGATGTTTCTGAAGTGGGGCAGCTTCCCTCTGCCTTATCAACTCCTCTAGATTTTCTATCCTGCTCCGGAGGGCTATGAGCTCCTCTACAGCAACAACATTTACCCTCCCGGGATCAGTCTGCTTCATCTCCTGAGCAGAATCCAGTTTTCTTACTTCCCTTGATGGCTTAGACCTGTGACGCCGGGAGTGCTGATAGTATTGCATGCGCTCCACGGCTTCCTCCACTGTCCGGGGATGCCCATCAAGTGCGTAAATACCAGCATCTCTGTCCTCAGCTCCATAGCATAGCCGAGGTATAGCGCGAGTGTGCACATCTGGCACACTGGGGAAGGCTCGTGTCGCCAAAGTCAGGACTCTGTCGGCCCACTGATGAAGTGACTCCCCGGGGTTCTGGCTGGTAGACTGGAAGTTAAGTTGATGAGTGAGATCGGGGGCAGAGGAGCCAAAACGCTTCTCAAATCTCTGCAAGATCTCACCTAGGCGGAGCTGGTTACTGGTTTCTAACAGCAGGGTATAATACTCGCTTGCTGCCCCTTCAAGGGAAAAACAGAACTGGTCATGCTGCTCCTCCTCGGTCCACAGCTGACTGCGAGACAACCTCACAAACTATTGCAAAAATGCCTTCCAGCTGGTCTTACCATCATACCTAAGGTCCTTATACCTTGGCTTACTCCCAGCAGCTGCCCTACTGGTGTTCTTTGCAGGTGTATTAAAGCTGCTATCCTGGTGGGCCGGGACAGGCTGACTAGCATAGTGTCCCAGCTTGGCTGTACCATGCACATGTGTTATCCTCTCCCCCTCCCTTCCAAAATGGCAGGTTGGGGTATCGAGATAGGCAGGACTACAATTCGACGATATGGGGACTCTATGATGCTGTGATTCACTGGGCATAGTCATACGTAGGTGTGAGGTTTGAACATCCTCACCTCTGTACCATGGGGATTGGGTGTGATCGGGCAGTGGGGGTTGGTTGGGCACGTCCACCCCCAGTATTCACCAAGTCTCGGACAAAGGTAGTGTGTGGCATTGAGGTCCGGGGTTGAAAATCATCCCCAGGAAGCGAGGACACACTAAAGTCCGCGGGTCTAGGCTGGGTTTGTACAGACAAAGGGTTCCAGGTGAGCCCTAAAGTGTCAACAGGCCTCAGATCATACACAGAAGTGAGCGGTGCAGGCCTCACAGGCTGTTGATTGGTAAACAGTGTATGTGGCGGAGGGGCGGGGTCAAGCGAGTGGGGTATACCCTCACCAAAGCTTGGTCTAACTCCCATGTCCCCCAGGTTAGCTGTGTCTCCCACAAGGACAGGTTGGCTGCTAGCTGAGAGCACATGACCTACAGAATACTGATGTTCTAAACCTAAACTCAAGGGAACCTCACTGCATTCATACCTAGGTGGGCTACAACTCACAGTGCTGCCAGGTGAGCCACACCAACACAGCCTACCTAAAGAGGACTCCAGGGAATCACTGGTCATCATCCCTGGTGAGCTACATTGGGGCTGGGCAAACCTGAACTCTCTCCTTGACATACCATGTAACACACTACCCTCCCCACAGGGGATGCCCGAATGCAGGCCGGGCCTAGGTGTAGAGGGACCCCCCAGGGGCAACCCCCCTCCCATGTGACCTGACATTGACTGAGCAGAAGGTGTGTGACGGGAGGCAATATGTTCGCTCCCGTTATAAACATATGGTGAATAACCCCCTCCCCCGGGAGTACCATACACACTACACGAAATACGGGGGTTAAATCTGTCCGACTGCATGACACTATTGATAGCCGGGCGCGTGTCCAGACCTAAAGCCGACACGGCCTCCTCAACAGACATATCCACAAAAAATGTCACAAATAATCAAGTGAAATCACAGTCAATATTTACAAATCAATTCCAAAAGTCGATTCAAGAAAAATACATGAGAAATCAACATGTGCTCTCACGTACCTAGCAGCACCAAAAATGGCGGCTTAAACCGATGCCTACAAATACCTGACAGCAGTACGGGAATCCCGGGCCCCACGTTGGGCGCCAGTAAAGTATCCGTCTAGGGGGGTGTGCTTTACAATATATTTATTTAACATCCAACATATATACAAAGACAATCACAGTGGGTTCTGGCCCGGGTCGACTTCCCGCTCCGCTGCTGTCCCAGACACGTCCGGTCTCCTCGGCATCCAGGTGTAGAAGAGAGGGAGTGCGACTATCCCGCCATCTGACGTAATACAGACAGTAAGTCGTACCACGGGATAGTCGCACAGATACTACACTACATACAAAGATTCAAAACACATTTATGTATATAAATGGTTTCTGGTGGTTGCACTGTGTGTTCATTTTTAGTTTTATACGCAGTACTAGCTATTAATAGATTCAGCTACTGCTCTGCATAGCTCCTAGTGGAATTTTCCATGCGCATGTGCATTGGTTATTTTATTTGTAAACATTGGCTGCATTCATTATTTAAATTAAAAGAAACACGGAAAATATCCCAATAGCTTATTTTTAGGTCACCTGAGTAAACTCAGGTGACCTATTGCTATCCGTTTTCGTCCGTCGTCGTCCGTCGTGTGTTAACATTTGAACATTTTCAGCTTCTTCTCTGCAACCACTGAACCAATTTCAACCAAATTTGGCACAAAGCATTTATGGGTGAAGGGGAACAAAAATTGTGAATTTCATGATCCCTGTCCCCCTGGGGCCTGAGGGGTGGGGCCAAAACCACTAAAATTAATGCAATCTTTAAAAATCTTCTTCTTTACTCCTGAAATCAAGCAGTCAAACTGTTTGCATGATTGTAAACAGCATTGAGTCCTTTACCAAAATTGTGAAATTCATGGCCCTGGGGTCAGGGGTTCTAGTGCTAGGGCGGGGCTAAATAAGTATATAGTGAAAATGCATTATTCCTTTGGAAATCTTCTTACCAACTAAGTACATAGTTATGATGAGCAAGAGTGCCTCTACCAAAATTGTGAATTTCATATCCCCAGGGTCAGGGGTTCTGGTGTTAGGGCGGGGCTCTATTGATTATATATAGTGAAAATACCTGATTTCTTTGAAAATCTTCTTCTCTGCCCCTGGGTATTAAATATACTAACTAAGTGCATAGTTATGATGAGCATGAGTGCCTCTACCAAAATTGTGAATTTTATGGCCCCAGGGTCAGGGGTTCTGGTGTTAGGGTGGGGCTCTATTGATTATATATAGTGAAAATACATGATTTCTTTGAAAATCTTTTTCTCTGCCCCTGGGTATTAAATATACTAACTAAGTGTATAGTTATGATGAGCATGAGTGCCTCTACCAAAATTGTGAATTTTATGGCCCCAGGGTCAAGGGTTCTGGTGTTAGGGGGTGGGGGGGGCTCTATTGATTATATAGTGAAAATACATGAATTCTTTGAAAATCTTCTACTCTGCTCCTAGGTATTAAATAAACCAACTAAGTGCATAGTTATGATGAGCAAGAGTGCCTCAACAAAAATTGTGAATTTTATGGCTCAAGGGTTCTGGCGTTAGGGCGGGGCTCTATAGATTATATGTAGTAAAAATACATGAATTCTTTGAAAATCTTCTTCTCTGCTCCTAGGTATTAAATAAACTAACTAAGTGCATAGTTATGATAAGCAAGAGTGCTTTTACCAAAATTTTGAATTTTATGGTCCCAGGGTCAGGGTTTCTGGTGTTAGGGCAGGGCTCTATTGATTATATATGGAAAATACATGAATTCTTTGAAAATCTTCTTCTCTGCTCCTAGGAATTAAATAAACTAAGTACATAGTTATGATGAGCAAGAATGCCTCTTTTAAAATTATGAATTTTATGGCCCCAGAGTCAGGGGTTCTGGTGTTAGAGGGGCAGGGCTCAATTGATTATATAATGAAAATACATTAAATCTCTGTCTCTGGGTATAAAGCAGATGAACTACCTTTTTAGTTATGATGAGCAAGGGCCCTAATCTTACAGAATTGTGAATTTCAAAGCCCCAGGGTGAGGGGTGGGGGTGGGGGCTCTACTTATATACTGAAAATGAATTTATTATTGAAATCTGCTTTTTTGTATTTATAAAACATTTATTTTTTGATATTAAGGGTGCTTTTTTGAAATTTATGCAATCTGTGGACCTAGGGTCAGGGGTTTATGTCACAGTGTTAGGGGCAGTACTGGTTAGTTGGAATGCATTTTTGTTCCCCTACCCTGCATATGGGTATTCAGTAACCAAGCTAAGCAACTGCTAAGTGTATTGTTATGATGATCAGTGGTGCCTCTTTCAAAATTGTGAATGTCATATAGCATCTGGCTTAAAACATGAATCAAATTCAATAACTGGAAAATTGTTGCATAATGCTCAGGTGACCTATAAGGCCCGTGGGCCTCTTGTTTATGGAATTGTTCCGTAAAGGAGTATTATTTTATGAAGGATTGTGTCTTACAGAACGTTTAAACAGGTAATTTGTTCGATTCAGAGCCTATTAATGTCATAAGGCGAATAGCGTTACTTCGTCTTCTAGTTTGCACATCGCTGTAACCTGATATCCACAGCGCATCGTTAAGTACAATCGCCGAGATGCATATTCTTTTTGTTGGTGATTCACATTTACACAGATTTGGAAACTTTTTGAATGGTAAACCTCCCGCTGAAACGTTTAATATAAGAAACTTGGGATTGTTTGAATTCAATGGTATTAGTGGCGGATCAATCGGCAATCGCGCACACACCCGCGCTATCACTGCCGCGGTTAGAGATAAGCGACCACAGCATGTCATTGTGAATTTAGGAGGCAACGATCTAGATTCCTCCGAGGACATTGACTGTATCGTAATGAGACTGGTTTCATTTGTGTCACTACTTAAGAGACAATTCAACCTCAAAAGCGTGGTGATTTTGAGTTTTATTCCCCGGAATCGAACAAGAAATATCAGCCCTTCGGAATACACTGGTCGAGTGGATCAGGCTAATCGCTTGTTGAAGACTTGAGCAACACAAGATGACATGCACTTTTGGAAACTGAAGGGTTTTATCTGTAGCAGGAATAACGTTTTATGTGACGGAGTCCATTTAAATAATCTTGGACAGTACAAACTCTTAAGACAAATTAGGGTAATTCTCCTTCTGTTATCCAGGGATCACTAATTACCCTTGAAGACAGGGGCTTCTCGGGTACACAGGCGCAAAATACATATGATGTGTTCTAGTTAACATTTTAAAGTTCCTTATCTTTTTATTTTCATGATCATCATGCATACAATAATTAATTTTATAAGCAGTATAAAAATTTTATGGTTTATATTACATATTAATTTCATGAATCGTCCATATTTTTGCACCTTTTGTTAAGCATATTTAGCAATGTTTACAATTCAGTTATTTTCGTTACAGCAGAAGTTTTTGTCCTAGGGTGAATCTACATCCGTGGGTTCCAATATTGTTTTTATTTGACCTGGAAGGTAAAAGCTTTTTTGGCTACCTATTTCTGTATGACGAAAAACCTAATGATTTAGCCGTAGTCATTTCTTTGGTCTAAATCTTCATGTTCTAACTGCTTAATTATTTGGCATAACAACTTTTATTTATGCTTCAAATAGAGGCACCACAATTGGTGGCCAATGCCAATATATGAACTATAAATTAGTTCACCACACTGCTTCGGCAGATTGTGGTTTTATATGATTGAACCATTCTGCTTCGGCAATATGTTTTTTTTATATGTATATGATCATGATTTATTACCACACTGCTTCGGCGGATAGTGGTTATATACTCGTATGATTCAACCATACAGCTTCGGCATATAGTGGTGATATATATTTTATTTTATGATTTGATATCACACTGCTCTAGCATTTCGTGCTTTTATATGATTCATCCACACGGCTTCGGCCAATTGTGGCAAAATATGTACAGTACATGTACACAAATATATTTATATAAATAATACTTTATTTATCAATAGTAAACAAAAGATATGATTTATAACCATATATGCAGTTAAATTTCAGTAAACGCTGATTGGTGGCGCTCGTTACAGTTATTTCTAATTACCACCTTATTTATGGCTATGAATTGTTTTAGGATGGCATCAAGACCAAAACGAAGAAGGACCTCGACCAAACGTCAGGATCCACCTACAACAAGGACAACGTCAGAGACGAGAAGCGAAGACGTTAGTACCATTTTTTCAGAAATGCATGTCGAAGATCATGCCGACGATCGAGGAGACGTTTAAAACGTGTATGGAAGATTATTTGAAGTAAAAGTCTGCATCCTCGCCTCCGCACCGGGGCCACTGGAACCAAGTACGACGTCGCCAGCACCTACACTCCATAGCGAGGTTACAGGTGATCAATCTCTAGATAGTACGAACAAAGATTGTGAAGTTAACTCAGATCCCCCCATGCTCTATCTGCCTTGTGCATAACGTATGCGTAGATCAAAAAATACGGGCAGATTCAGAGTAATCAGTACGTCGAAATTGTGTGACCGTGTGAAATGAACGGATTTCGTTTTTTGATAGTGCTAAGTAAAACATAATTAAAGACCGTGACCGCAAGACATTTTATGCCACCTGTGCCTGAGTGAACTTGTTAATTATTATTCAAATTCTTTAATTATGTCCACCTGTTTAGAGTAACTCTTCATTTTAATTGTGTATTTCATCATTGTTATAAAATGGGTGTTTCATACATGATCTTCAGTTAGAAACTGGACCTTGAACTGTCCACGCCGATCGTGTAGTAAACACCAAGTTTGGATCGTTATAACAAATTATTAAACGAAGCATCGACTTGTGTTTTTAGCTCTACTGGTCAGAGACCAGAAGAGCTTATGCGATAGTAATGCGTCCGTCGTCCGTCCGTCTGTCTGTCTGTCTGTCTGTAAACAATTTTTCAAAATGCTACTCCTCCTACAGTTTTGGTCTGATTTTAATATAACTTGGCACACAAGTAGACTACACTAAGATACATAATTCTGTGTATCGGTTTTTGATTTTGATGAACGGTGTTGCCGTGGTTACTAAAAATAGAAATTTCTGTGAATTTCTTTCAAAATGCTACTCCTCCTACAGTTTTGGTCTGATTTCAATATAACTTGGCACACAAGTAGACTACACTAAGATACATAATTCTGTGTATCGGTTTTTGATTTTGATGAACGGTGTTGCCGTGGTTACTAAAAATAGAAATTTCTGTGAATTTCTTTCAAAATGCTACTCCTCCTACAGTTTTGGTCTGATTTCAATATAACTTGGCACACAAGTAGACTACACTAAGATACATAATTCTGTGTATCGGTTTTTGATTTCGATGAACGGTGTTGCCGTGGTTACTAAAAATAGAAATTTCTGTGAAATTCTTTCAAAATGCTACTCCTCCTACAGTTTTGGTCTGATTTTTTCAATATAATTTGGCACACAAGTAGACTACACTAAGATACATAATTCTGTTTATCGGTTTTTGATTCCGATGAACGGTGTTGCTGTGGTTACTAAAAATAGAAATTTCTTTGAAATTCTTTCAAAATGCTACTCCTCCTACAGTTTTGGTCTGATTTCAATATAAATTGGCACACAAGTAGACTACACTAAGATACATAATTCTGTTTATTGGTTTTTGATTTCGATGAACGGTGTTGCCGTGGTTACTAAAAATAGAAATTTCTGTGTTATTCTTTCAAAATACTACACCTCCTACAGTTTTGGTCTGATTTCAATATAACTTGGCACACAAGTAGACTACACTTAGATACATAATTCTGTGTATCAGTTTTTTATTCCGATGAACGTTGTTGCCGTGGTTACTAAAAATAGAAATTTCTGTGAAATTCTTTCAAAATGCTACTCCTCCTACAGTTTTGGTCTGATTTCAATATAACTTGGCACACAAGTAGACTACACTAAGATACATAATTCTGTTTATCGGTTTTTGATTTCGATGAACGGTGTTGCCGTGGTTACTAAAAATAGAAATTTCTGTGAAATTCTTTCAAAATGCTACTCCTCCTACAGTTTTGGTCTGATTTCAATATAACTTGGCACACAAGTAGACTACACTAAGATACATAATTCTGTTTATCGGTTTTTGATTTCGATGAACAGTGTTGCTGTCGTTACTAAAAATAGAAATTTCTGTGAAATTCTTTCAAAATGCTACACCTCCTACAGTTTTGGTCTTATTTCAGTATAACTTAGCACACAAGTAGACTACACAAAGATTCATAATTTAGTACATCGGTTTTTGATTCAGATGAATGGTGTTGCCATGGTTACTAAAAATAAAAAATTCTGTTAAATACTCTCAAAATGCTACTCCAAATACAGTGTGCAAGTAGACTACACTAAGAACATAAAGAGACTTAATCAAGGATCATTATTCTATTTATTGCTGTTGAAAAGTTTCAATTCCCAACTGCTTAAAGGCCGAGGTTTTTAACCGTACGGTTTTCCTCAGGTAAATTTGGTGTGGGGTGGAGCTTAATCGAAGGGGCTGAGAAGCCCCGCGGGAATGACGCTGGCTTGTGTATACTACCTATATACACAGGATGTTACCTGAGCCCCTGGGTGTATTACCTGTATGCGTTTTCCAACGACTTTGTAAACAGAGGCCGTTTTTTTTTTTTCATGTTTAGCTCATGAATTGAAATGCGAAATATTTTAGCATTTTTTGTTGCAGACAGAATCCTTCTTCATTTCTTTCTTTTAAAATAATTAATATTTTTAATAATTCGACATTTTTTATATACAGTGTGTTTCTTAATGAAGTGTTCTAACGAAAATACATTTAGCACCAAAATCTGTCGTTGTAATCTGGCGACAAAAAGGGAAGTAATTCAAATTACACGTCGCGTACGCAAGTGAATCATAAAACAGTCTCTCGGTAAATAACAATGAAACTTAGAAACGATGTTCTGAGAATAAAATGATGAAGTAGAAATATTATTGTCTAAATAAATATCTTTTTAAGATAAACCCTACTTGATTTTTCCATAACGCATGGTCGGTAAAAATGACCAGGGCTTCGGACCGGGGTTGATTTTCCGACAGCTATGAAACGGGAAAAGAATCATCAGCATGGTTTTTTTTTTCTTTCGGGATTCATTATTAATTTTAAACATTGAATACAAAGCAAGAATATATATTTCGAGTAATTTCTCTTCTAAAACGTATTATTATACCGTAACTTTGTCACCATAATGCATGTCTAGAAGAAAATCAACACGTACAGGTTTGTCTTATAAATAGAAATTCGCTTGACTCGTGAACCATGTTACAATGTTGTCATACTTGTTTTAAAAAATAATTTTATTTAATTCCATGATACTAGCTTCAAACGCAGGTAGGTTTATTTTGTTAATTAATGGAGGAATACTTAAACTCGTTCTTTGACACGAAAATTAAAATTATCGATTGTAATCGTGATATGAAATCCTCCCTTTTAAAATTAAATTTATAATATATATTATATAGCCATCTTTTTCTTGTCATTTATTTAATTATTTAAATAGATTGATTATATTTAGGCATGTTCTTATGAATTAGAAAAAAGAAAAGAACGATTTGATTGCTTCTTTATCACATTGGTACACAGTGCGGTAGGCATCAAAAGTATGAAAGTTAATTCGATGGTCGGTACGATCCCCAGACAAGGTACACAAGATATACACAACAGCAGCAAACTAAATGTCAATCAAATAAAGGTATCCAATCCCAGGCTTAATTTCAGATGATTGACAGAGGTTCTAAGACCAGGTAAATTTGAAGGAGGTGCTTATTTCCTCCCCCTTTAAGTACTTTTCTTTCCTTTGCTATAAGTACAAACCAGTAGAGCTTCAGTCTCGACAGAGACTTCTGGTTCTACAGGTTATATTTGGTGGAGATTCCTAAAGGTAATTTACCCAGGCTTACTGTATATACTTTAAGTAGATAGATCCCAGGACTCTCATACAGCTAAGCGAGTTTGCCATTCTTCATATCAGAATTCCCCTAATCATGGACTTATTTCCATTTTTTTCTGCTTGGATGCGACCAGTCCAACCGCGCTTCACCTTGCAACAATGTGAACGCTGCGGATTAAGACACGGCTGGACCGTCTACAACGCACTGACGTCATCATGTTTCAAGTGTGGAAGAAGAGGACACTATGCTTGGATGTGTAAAACACGGACTTAATTCCCGTACCATCTGTGCCGTCTTTTCATTACCGACGCACTCAGTCGAAACACAGACTAACAAAACATGTACGGTACGGTGCGAAGGAAATCAAAAAGGAAGCAAACCAGAGACAGAGAAAGAAAAATAAAATTTCGGATAACCCACAAAGAAAAAGAATCTTTAAGTGAAATGCCTTTCTCCCTAGTAAGTGTCGTTGAAATTCATGCTGAAACTTTGGAAACACAAGCTGAACAGTTCGTGGAACAGGCGGCTCTCTACAAATCGGATGTTCGACTTTATAAAAACAAATGGATGTGCGAGCGGAAAACGTCTCATGTTCGACTATGGGAGAAAGACAAGACTATCGGAGAACTTCAAGAAAAACTTTTAGCTGCGTCAACTGAGCTTGAGGAGTCGAAGAAAGCTATAAAAGCTATATCTGACCTAGAGTTTTCAAGCAAAGACCAAAAATCACAGATTTTTTCCCTGCTAAAGCAAAACAAGCATGCTGAACCATTTCTTGCCTATAGTAGAGCAATTTACAGTAGTCCGCCCCGTGGAGGTCGAAACCAGCATTCAAGAAATCCAAATATTGCCATAAGAGCTCCCACTAACAGTAGAAAAACTTCGAAACACGAGAACGTGTTTCGGGGGGCGAGACGGGGTACTGTGACCGTGTGAAATGAGCAGATTTTGAGTCACAATTATATTTTTTTTGATAGTGCTAAGTAAAACATAATTAAGGACCGTGACCACAAGACATTTGACGCCACCTGTGCCTGAGTGAACTTGTTAATCATTATTCAAATACTTTAGATATGTCAATTATGTCCATCTGTTCAGAGTAACTCTTCATTTTAGTTGTGTATTTCATCATTGTTCTAAAATGGGTGTTTCATACATGATCTTCAGTTGGAAACTGGACCTTGCACTGTCCACGCCGACATATTGATCGTGTAGTAAACACAAAGTTTGGATTGTTATATTAATT